TAACCTTTTCACAATTAACTATAATTAACTAAACCCCACTGTATGTAATATTGTTTCTAACCTCTTCTCTGAAACGCATGGCTATACATGGAAGAATTTAATGGAACCAAATATGTTTTTCTTAATTTCTTTATGTTGGAAAATATGAACTTTTCCCATTGGCCTGGTTGACCTTTGAACTATATACAGTAGGTAGCATTTTAATCATAATGACATCATGCTTTCCCTAAACAAAAGCTGTTCCAAAATGTATACTACATTAATATGCAAACTTTCACCTAAATCACTCACACATTCACTTTCCATTGGCATAGACGCTGATTTATCAGCAGAATGAACTACCAATTACTTTGGCATATGTTTTACCTGCAAAATACTGATGGCCACTCATACACTACGACCAGTTTAGTTTATACAATTTACCTATACCACATGTCTGTGCAGGAGAATGTAGCAAATTCACACAAACATAGGGAGAACATGCAAACTCCACACAGATAGTCTTCTTTCTGGGACTTAAACCAGTGACCTTCTTGGTTCATCTATGTTTATTACTTTTCTAGCTATGTTTTTGTATTCTTCTGAAACTCTTTGTGGAACTCAAGAGTAGTGTGTTGCTCATTACCACTCATGGCATCCAGTTGGGTATAAAGGGAGGTTAGAGCCAGCTCTAAATGGGAAGTGGGCTATATAAACCTCTTGGGACTTTCTTCAGTTAAACAAAGAGAAAACTGAAATGATTGTGTTTGGAAACAAAGATGAGGTTCTCAAGGTAAATGCGTACCTTGGCACTAAAGGTCAAACGACAAAAAATAAGGTCAAGAATCTTGGTGTGACTCTGGAGTCAGATCTGAGTTTCAATAGTCATGTCAAAGCAGTCAGTAAATCAGCATACTATCATCTCAGTGATTTTGTTTCTAGTGAAGATTTAGAAAAACTGATCAGATGTGCTCCCACATACGGCACATTCAAATCAAGACTGAAAACACATCTGTTTAGCTGTGCCTTTACTGAATGAGCACTGTGCTGCGTCCGACAGATTGCACTATCATGTTTTTCTCTTCTTCTTCATTCTTTTATATCACATTTTACCTGTTTTTATGTTTTGTTTTGTTTTTACGCATTTTTAGAATTTGTTTTTATTTTTATTTTACTTGTTTCTTTTATTCTTGTTTATGTAAAGCACTTTGAATTGCCATTGTGTGTGAAATGTGCTATATAAATAAACTTGCCTTGCCTTGCCTTGCCTTAAATGACATGGAGTTTAACATATCAAGTTTTATGAACGTCTACACCTACCTCAAACCTTCACCTAACCCTTAACTTATTGTAAAACAGTAATTATTGTTTTACAAAATCACATCTGTATCCCTTCTAGCCATAATCCAACCTACTGGCCGTATAGGTCCCTCCTATATTGAAGTCTCTGGGCTGCAGTGTTATATACTTGCATGTGACAAGCCTTGCATTGTTTTAACAGCTGTAAAAGCAAACTGCTACTTGGTCCCCCATCAGCTGGCAGAACCAGATGTTATAAAGTGCCACATGCTCCTAGATCAACATCTTTGGTGATCCTGCAATACAGTTTCAATTAGTCAGTTAGAGTTTAGGGATTTTTAGGCTTAAAATCAGTGTTGGTGACTATCAATTGCCTCTGATTGTGGGAATAACAAATAGCTAGGGTTAGGTATAGGGATAGTGATTAGGTTTGTACGTTAATTGTGTTCCAGGATCAACTAAATATGCTAAAAATATTGTTTTTTTTTTTCAACTTAGGCTCATTCTAAAAATATACCCCTTTATTATATACATTTCTGAAGAGTGCAATATACATCCCAGAAGCTATGTTTTTTTTTTTTTTTGCATTTTTTGTTTTTGCAAATGTACACTTTTTCAGATCTCAAATTTCTATCACAATTTTCATTCATGCCTGCTGTTCACACATAAATCTACCAGAGACCACTGTTGACTGACTGATTGGTTTACTGACTGACTGACCAACTGACTGTTCCCCACCCTCCTTCTTACCTAAACCCAACCAATAGTATTTTAAAAAGCAGCGATTGACCCGTACACCCACTTCCCTAAACCCAATCGCAATGTTCATTCATTTATTCATTTTCTTTTCCGCTTAGTCCCTTTTTTTAATCAGGAGTCGCCACAGCGGAATGAACCGGCAACTTATCCTGCACATTTTTACACAGCACATCCCCTTCCATCCGCAACCCATCTCTGGGAAACATCCAAACACACTCATTCACATTTATAAACTAAAAACAATTTAGCCTACCCAATTCACCTGTACCGCATGTCTTTGGACTGTGGGGGAAACCGGAGCACCCAGAGGAAACCCATGCGAACGCAGGGTGAACATGCAAACTCCACACGGAAATGCCAACTGACTCAGCCGAGGCTCGAACCAGTGACCTTCTTGCAGTGAAGCGACAGGTCTACCTACTGCATCACTTCATCACCAAGTGCAGTGTTTTGAAAAGCAATCCAGGAAAAGAAAAGCCCATTTACCACGTTTATAGGCCCCGTTTACACTAATGCGTTTTAGTTTGAAAACGCATAAGTTTTGCTACGGTTACGCCAACCGTCCACACTACGCCGGAGTTCTCGAGCGCCGAAAACGGAGCATTTCGAAAACGCTGGAGAGGCCGTTTTCATTTTGAAACGCTGCTGCTCCGTCTCAGTGTGGATGATGGAAAACGGAGACATCTGAAAACGGAGGCGGGGCTGCAGACGTTCGCCTCTCTGATTGGGGCTTTTCCTGAATATTAAGTAGCCTAACACACAGTTCAGTCCTGAATCTTCTCCGTGTAAGTTCAGACTTCGCAAGTTTGATCAAGGCTGCAGTCTCTTCTTCTCAGTTTGATATGGAAAAGCAGACTATACCGAGGACACGGGTAAATCTTCAAAGGGAACAGTGTACTTTATAACTTCATTCACATCACCCTGGCTTCGTTGTTTCACTTTCTCAACAATAAAATGTAAACATGATTTAAGGAACTGCCTATTTTCATTTTAATATTAGCAACTTAGACAGCAGACATGTTGAGGCGCCGTGCTGTATAAGATGAGCGTCATCTTCACTGTCTGGATATTTATAACAAAACGGAGCCGATAACAACTGCCTCCTTTCAATTTCAGTGAAAATACGAAACATCCCCTCTCTTTTGCTGAGTATCAGTTTTAAGAATCGATAATGGCCATTTTAAAAGTATAACATACAATAAGTTTATACATTATAGGAAATAAAGGCAAGCGATAAGTCAATATACAGAATGTACGTGGTTACATTAATCATTAACTTATCTTTGCGCTCAGCCAAAACACGTTACCTGAGAACAAGTAATAGATTCCAATGCCCAAAGTCAGGGAATATGTCGTTAGATAAAGACAACAAGATGAATGAAATATCCCGTTTAATAAATATAGTGAGATTAGATCCAGCGGGAGATGCTTGATGAGAAGTCTGACTAGCAGAGCTCTCATCTGGGTACATGGGCTGCAGCGCTTGCCCGAGAGCGTCTGTGTGGTCACGTGATGTGCGTTTTCAGCGTTTTGGTGTGGACGGAGAGCAGTTCAGAAACGCTGGGTAAAACGCGAGTGTGGACGCGGATCGTTTTCATTCTAAAACGCCGTTTTAAAACTAAAACGTACTAGTGTAAACGGGGCCATAGATTGTACTTTATTCCTACCCTGTTATTTACTTGTTTATTTTATTTTTTTGGCTTCTGTTTTTGTCTCACCTGCTTTCTGGAACCTTTGTTTACAAAAATCGAACCGCATTGTGGGGTCAATTCCATTTTGCATCTCCAATCTGCTGATGTACGTGTCGAGTTACCAGACAAAATGGTAACTGCGGAAAAGCTCTCCATAAGTAGGTAAGCGGTCAGCTGGTAAGCGAGAAAAGGCCATCCTACCGCCCCATAGCATTAGTTTTAAAGATGAAATGCAGCCATACATAGCTCTGGCTAAATAATTTGCGATCTTCAGAAACGTATTTATGGCTACGATTTCAGAATGGCCTATGTTTCTTACACTCATTCATTCATTTCCTTTTCGGCTTAGTCCCTTTATTAATCCGGGGTCGCCACAGCAGAATGAAGCACCAACTTATCCAGCACATGTTTTTACGCAGCGGATGCCCTTCCAGCTGCAAGCCATCACTAGGAAACACATACACACTCATACGCTACAATAAATTTTAACTTACCCACTTCACCTGTACTGCATGTCTTTGAACCAGAGCACCCGGAAGAAACCCACACAAACATGAATATGCAAACTCCACACAGAAACGCCAACTGACCCAGCCGAGGCTTGAACCAGCAACATTCTTGCTTTGAGGCGAATGTGCTACCCACTGCGCCACCGCATTGCCTATGTTTTTTTTTTTTTTTTTTTTTTTTTTACAAATTTCATATATTTTGTTTACATCTTAATAAAGGTACTGTACCAACAAATAAATATGAGTATACATACAGTACTGTGTAAAAAGTGTATGTGTGCATGTGGGTCATTTTAGACATAAGCCAGCCCTGCCTGAGCGCTAAGTTTTAGAATATTTGATAATTCTGCAATTGTCAAAAACACACATTGTTTTTAAAATGAATCATGTTTACATGCTATTTTTAAAAAACAATGTGCTAAAAATGTGCTCTATGTACAATGAACTCATAACTTAAATCTAAATAAAAAGTAGAAAGTGAAAAGTCAAAGGCTGTATCCTTGCACCCCACACTTCTCCAGAATTATAGTCTTAAATTTTTCATTCCTCACAGCATCTCTAATTATTCTGCATGACTGTGCGCCTTCAACCTCTCCTTCAGATGCACTTGCTCACCTTCTCCCTCTCTCTCTCTCTCCCTCTCTCTCTCTCGCTACATCCCCTTGTTCGCATCCCCCTCCTCTCTCTTTATCCCCTCCCCTTCCCCCTCTCATTCGCTCTCCTCCAATCCCTCCCCTGCAATCCCTCCTGTCTCTCTGTGTAGTGAAATGAAGCAGGAGCTGGAGGAGGAGGGCAGTCGCTGTTTGCTTTTATCTAAGCAGCAGAAGTTCAACGAGCACTGCTGCATCCGTTGCTGCTCTCCCTTCACCTTCCTGCTCAACCCAAAGCGCCAGTGTCTGGACTGCCACTACAACATCTGCAAATCTTGCTGCTCTTACAGCCAGAGCGAGAGGGGCTACATCTGTGCTGCCTGCCAAAAGAGCAGGTAAGTGTCCTCATGCATGCATGAAATCATACATGTGAGAAAGCATATATTGTGAAACGGTTTTTATTTATTGGTAAATGAACATGTTACAAAACGTATGTTATGCAATTACATCTGGATACCAAACACCACACCTGCTGGTACACTGTGGCACACACATCATTCAAGCAGGTTGTAAATGACACATGGAAATATGAAAATAAACCAAACAAACAAACAAAAAAGAGCTGTTTGACTTTGGAATGTTGAAATATTTTTTACCTAAATTATAATTTTGAGATTTTGCTTTCATTAGCAAAGATTTGTATTTTGTGGTGTATATAAGCCCTGCCTTAAACCTTCTTTCCCATCGACTTAAGCACCTTAAGGAGTTCCTCCTCCCAGTCTTGCAATTCCTTCTGAAATTGCTTTAGCAAAACATTTATTTTGAAAAGGGATATGCAAATATTTTTTTTATTTAATTATTGGTTGGCTACCACAATTAATATGTCCCCAAAAATAATACTAATAATTTCTTTACATAATTTTAATTATTAATAAACAATTTATTTTCTCCCTTAAATGTTGATAAAGTAAAATGAATAAAGTGTTTAAATAAATAAGCATTTGTGAGGTAATGTTAAGGTTGTGGAAATACTATATGAGAAGTGTCACACTAAAGGGCATTATGGAAAGATTTAGATTGTTTTCTGGCTTGTGTCTTAATATCACACATGTTTTTGGTGCAAATGTCCTTTGAAATAACCTCTTTTTTGTTTTAAAATATAAAATTGCTGTGCATGAACATTCAGTGAGTGAGATGTATTCATGTAGTTATTTATGTATTGTGTATGTATTTATTTATTAGTTCATTTGTTTGACCTAAATATTTAATTTAAGACAGTGACAAAGTGTCTGAAAAGCCACTAAACCTATTGGTGTATAGAACACAAAAAAAATTGTATACAATAATATAAAAGATGCAAGTTTATTTTTTGTAACATTTATGTGTCTGGGTTTTGTGTTTTTCAGTGGCATTTTTGGCCAGAGCCTTATCTTACCCAGGTATTTGTGGATGTTTAAGCACTGATAATTCATTTCAGCCCTGTTTGATTTTCTAAATGCTGGCTTTATGGCTGTTGAATATGGAACCCAGCCCACTAGGGATTTGGCAGTGTGTGTATGTGGCTGAGTGTGAGTGATTTTCAAAAACAAAGATTGGAAAGATAAGCTAAAGGGTGAAGAATATGGAGAAAAAATAGTGACATTGACGGTGGGAATATCTGCAGCATATGTAGATTAATATCTTGTGTACACACATGTGTTTGTATACATGTTTGTCCTCATTTTCATTAGCATACAACAGCATACTGGTTTAGAACAGAATAAGGGTGAGTAGAAAACAATAATAATTATCAAAAAATTAATTAAATAATGACCATTATTCATTAATTTGAATTGTCTCTGTAAAATTGTACAGGAACGTGGTGTGCAACATAATATGAATCAATCAAAACTTCCCATCATCCTTTGCTGTCTCTTTGACACACTGTCTCTCACTGTATTTTTCCCCTCTCTTCATGTATATCTTTCTCACGTACACTCACTCCATGCCCGAGGCGTGGGTTCTCCACCAGGATTAATTTTCTGTGAGTTCTCTTTCATGTTCCCTCCATGTAATAATCGCTGTATGAAAAATCAGATTCACAGAATTCATATTAGCAGATATCAGCATGCATTTCATGCTATCAGCAAATAATAATTTCCCTTGCCTCTTATGTAGCAATATTTCAAGCGATGTTAGCCCAGCTTTCCACTCTGATTGCACCAACATGGAATAAAATTGCACTTTACTTGAAATGAATGCAGTTATGTGGTGAGATGCCCTATGTAGAGAAATTGAGATTTATTTATTTATTTTTTGCTGTAATGATTAAATTTGCTGTAATTTACGCATGATGAGGAAAGCACTTTAATTGCTTTTGTAAAAAGCCAATAATGACATTTTGATTGGATTTGTGATTAAATGAATGTTCTAGGTTCAAGACAGGTTAATTTACATTGGGAACATTCCACTAACAAGTGTATGTTTACACTTATACAGTTAATGTATATCTATGCAGCAATCCATTACAGAAAAAAATGTTTATTTTAAATAAAATCAGAAGTTTACAAACACTGTATAAAAAGGCACATAACCATTAAAAAAGTCAAATGTTAATGTGACTAAACTTTTTCTCTTTTAGGTGAGTTAGGATTATCAAATATGTTTCTGTTATGCTTTATAGCAGAATAATGAGAAATATTTTTGGAAAAAAATGTTATTCCTTTTTTTAAAAGTCAATTTTGCATACAATAAGATTATTGTGCCTCTGAAAAAGTTCAGATGATGGTGTCAATGTTTTGGAGATCTCTGATTGGCTAATTAACAACATTTCAGTTAATTGGAGGCACAACTGTAGAACAGTATTTAAGGAAAACCTCAAACACACTGCTTCCTTTTGTAACAACATGGGAAAATCAACAAGACAGAATCAACAACAACAAAAAAGCCAGATTACAATTTGATAAATTACACTAGGAAAATATTATGAGAATATTTTTGGAGACATGTCCTGTGGTCTGATGGAACTAAAATTTAACTGTTTGGCCATAATGACTAGTGCTACATTTGGAAGACAAAGGGGAATGCTTGGAAGTCTAGGAATACCATCCCAACTGTGACGTATGGGGGTGGCAGCATCATGTTGTGGGGCTATTTTGCTGCAGGAAGGACTGGTCCACTTCACAGGAGAGATGGCATCATGAAGAAAGAACATTATGTAGAAATTCTGAAGCAGCATCTCACAACATCAACCAGGAAATTAAAGTTTGGCCACAAATGGGTCTTCCAAACAGACCATGATCCTAAGCATACTTCCAAATTAGTTAAAATGTGCTTTAAGGATAACAGAGTGAATGATTTGGAGTGGCCATCACAACGCTCTGACCTTAATCATATAGAAAATTTGTGGGCATTTTTTTTTTGTGCAAGACTACAAATCTGCCTACAAATCTGTCTCAGTTATATATATATATATATATATATATATATATATATATATATATATATATATATATATATATATATATATATATATATATATACAGCAAGGAAATGTATATAAACTTTATAGACTGTTTAGAAATAATTAAGAAAAAAATAAAAATAAATTAAAAATACTCTCATTATTTTGGCATTTAGCAAATTTAAATCATTTAGGTAATTCTAACGGACCTAAAATAGTAAACATTTAGTATAATTTTTAGTAGACATTTAGTAAAAATATCTAGTCAAATATTATATACTGTCATCATGGCAAAAATAAAATTAAATCAGTCATTAGAAATGAGTTATTGAAACTCTTATGTTTAAAAATGTGCTGAAAAAAATCTTCTCTTAGTTAAACAGAAATTAGGGGAAAAAATGGGGACATCAACTGTATATATATATATATATATATATATATATATATATATATATATATATATATATATAATTATTATTATTATTTAATAGAGAGATTTACTGGAGTTATTTTCAACAAATTTTCATAGTTTTAATAACTCATTTCTAAAAACTGATTTATTTATCTTTGCCATGATGACAGTAAATAATATTTTACTAGACATTTTTCACACTTCTATACAGCTTAAAGTGACATTTAAAGACTTATCTAAGTTAATTAGGTTAACTAGGCAGGTTAGGGTAATTAGGCAAGTTATTGTATAATGATAGGTTGTTCTGTAGACAGTCGGTAAAAAAACAGCTTAAAGAGGCTAATAATTTTGTCCCTTAAAATGTTTTTTAAAAATTAAAAACTGCTTTTATTCTAGCTGAAATAAAATAAATAAGACATTCTCCAGAAGAAAAAAAACATTATCAGATATACTGTAAAAATTCCTTGCCCTGTTAAACATTATTTTGGAAATATTTAAAAAAGAAAAAAATCAAAGTGGGCTAATAATTCTGACTTCAACTGTATATAAATATTTACATTTATAATGAAACCCTTTTCTGTCCCGACATTGATAACCTGTGCCATGTCATGTCACAGTGCAGTCACTCTTATTTCAATAGCGATTTTTACTGTAGATTACGTCTTAATTACAAAGATGAAAAAACAATTATTCAACCTCAAGATTTCAACCTCAACTTCAACCTCAGGACAAGGGAGGGACAGGCAGACTAAAATGACCATAGCCATTCTTCTTATGGTGCCATTTGTACCCAGATGTTCCCAATTGTGGTTAACAATTGTTTAGAGGATTTGAACATTTAAATTATGTTTTTGTCAGGTGTATGGTAATGCAGCAACTTTAATGTAGATTTAAACTGACAATTTCTAAGTACACAGAAGAAAAAATCTACTGCCTATGGTTCAATTAATTGGCCAGAATATTTTGAAGGATTTTCAGTGCATTTTTGAATTGTTTTAGTAAAACGAATAGTACTCTATTTATTTGATGAGAGAATGCCTACAGTATGCAATGATGTAAATAAATGATGTACAACTATTGTTTTTTATTTGCAATGTTAGTAAATACATTATCTATCTTTAACTAAGTTTTCCATAATATAAAGTGTTACCAATTGCTGTTCCAATTTAGCCACTATGCACAACATATTATATTTTAATTTCTCAGATTATTGTGGTTTCAGTCTGTACAACAACAGCAGAGTTAACCTGAGATTTCACCTGGCCAGTCCACATGTTTTTGTGGACTCTGAGTAGGCTTTTGACTGTACCCTTCTATGCATTCTGTGGTACTCTGAGAGTATGAGAGTCTGGTCTCTATGGCCTCTAGGCTTTCTGGTCTTTGTATGGTCTTTGTATGACCAGAAAGCCTCACAATGGTTCACATTGCAATAAATTAGACTTGTTCTCTGTGCATGTTGGACTCCAGAAGGGCTGCTATTTGTCATCAGTTCAATTTTTCTATATTTCTATAGACAAAAGGTCCATAGACCTTCTAGGTGA